CTCGTGCAATACATGCTCTTGGTGGTACGTGCACGAGTTGCTCTGGGTGGCTCGTGCACGAGGTGCGTGCACGAACGATTGTCTTGCCCCCGTCGTCGCTGCTGAATGGCAAGTGTCGCCAACTTCAATATTGGCACACCGGATCTAATGAGCGTATGGACCTGGTCGTTGTTGTCATCGGAACTTTACGACACATTCAGCTTCTTAGGTTACATGGCGTCGCCTGCCTCTCACCCAAGCCTAAAAGACGGACACCGTGGGGGCTCGTACTCTGTGCCTCGGGTTTCCTAAGCGCGCAGCTTAATCGCTACCTTTCACTACCAGTACACTAGATATGCTCGGCAAAGCCGTTGTATACGTGTGTGCGTGAGGGCTAGCGGCTGCGCACGCGATCTGGCCCCGCTCAGGCACGAACTAGAGTGGCTAATGGTGCGCGAGTTGGAATCATAATCAGTGCGCTCCTCCATGTCAGACCCCCCCCCCCCCCCCCTCCCACCCCCGTCAGAATCGATGCATTTTTCCATCACAACACTATTGAATATAATCTGCCATTTGGCGATCAGGAAAATAATTTAAGTCTTACATATCAGTGGCTACCAGTGTCACTATGCATGGCGCAGTGATACTTCAGACCAACAACAGTAATTCAGTCACTAGTGCACCGCAACCCCCCGAGTGGCTATGCGTGGTACGTAGCTGAGACAATGATTTCGGCGCCGGGAAACCCAAAATGAGTGGCCCATTGATAACTTGATTACTGTACCTATTGGGAGTTATGGGGACTGCAAGCCGTTTGCAGCGCGTAAGCATGCTGTAGATGGGTCTAATTCTATACCTTAGAAAACTGTAGCCCCTCCACCCATCATCCCGTCGCAAATTCTGATAGCCGCAATTTCGTCACAAATTCTGGCTATGCGCCTGGCTGGCCGGGGTCGCTGGGAGTGTGATGCCGCTCATATAAGTAATTAATGAGTAAAGGGCAGCCAACTTTAAGTCGAGAATCAGCGTAATTCAAAAGGGCACCACGGCAAAACAGCAGATCAAGCATAGCCTTGTGGCGCCCTTCTCCCAAAGTAGTTACGGGCAACCAAAGAAATGGTCAGCATGGCCCTGAGGAGCGACAGCAATGTGAAGCCGAAATGAACGGAGAGCATCAGAGTTATCACCAGCTAAACCACTGGTGGTAAAATTCTGGAAACGCGGAAGAAAAAAACATCGCAGCAGTCCGTTGCACTGAAGGACAGCGCGGAGGCGAAATCATGTGACTTAACCAGGGCATCAGTACGCCTCTCGAGCCCGACAAAGCGCTGGAAATGGAACGTGGCATCAAGATGTCACCAAAGACCGGCGGAGCGCCAGGGGACTGCAAACGCGACGTGGCTGATTCAAAGCCCGGGCTTTTCACAAGGCCGTTCGAAACTGGGCGGCTTAGGCGCCTCTATCTTACGAGCTGTTGGTGTCCCCAATCTGCCGAGGATGGTCTGTTAGAATTACCCCACTCTGGCATCAAAGGGGAGCGAGATTCGTTATTCTACGTAGCGCCACAGCAGATTGCGCAAGCAGGCGGGCTGCACATCGAAGCAAGCTGACACAGGTTCAACGGCCCAACGGTTGTCGCAGACACAGGTCCAACGGCCCAACGGTTGACGCAACGCCGCCATCCGGCTCACGCGACTTGGAATATTTGTCAAGCCAGCCACCAGGCCCCAGTTTCAAAACAAAATGACTAACCCAGATAATTTCAAGTCGTACGCGTATGAGTACCACAACGAATGCGAGATTTGGCAAAATCTGCCGGGAGGTTTGAAAATGCAAGGGTGTTGCATGCAATGGGTTCCAGCCAAGCTTTGACCATTTTCGAAAACCACACCACAGACAGAATGTCTAGTGCGAAATAGCCGTCTCCCCGCGCTGTGTCACACTAGCGGGTACACAACCTGAACGGGAAATGTGCGGGTTGGATACAGAATCTTTGAGAGACTCGATTAACAGTAAGGGCACGGCTCATTTTTTACGACGAAATTCGATTATTGGTAAAGGCAAAGCTCTTCTTGAACCGGTACGGGTATACCATTGGTACCAGCACCAACAACTGCCCTGAGTTTCTAAATGTACAATTTGTCAGGCTGTCAGCTCAACGAGAACGTAGCAAACAACACCTCACATGCACATAGTTGAACAATGAACAGTAACCTTCACATCTGGCGACCGACATGGATCGGAGCACAAAGTACATTATGCGTGATAAACAAAACAGGAGGAGGTAAATATAAGGTGGATGCCTCATCAAATAATAGGCTGGCAAGCGCACCTACCAGAGGGTTTTTTTAATGCCTCCAATCAATTCGAAAAACAGCGCCCGATCCAAAACTGCACGAAATCAACTCCACGCAGCCGACAAAGAAATGGTAAAGTAAAGACTAATGTTAAAACTCATCAGTGAAACATCAACTGGAGTGTTTTGAATCATACAGCATTACAGCCACTGTTGCCAGCGTGAAGAGGGGCAACAGTGGCTGCCACTCTCGACGCTGGCAACAGTGGCCGAGTTGCCATGACTCACACGCCGCCCTGTTTGCAGCTATGTCTCTCCGATCCCCAGATGGAAAATATCGGTGTGATCATGAGCCCTGCACTGTCCTGAGAGCTGCTCGTCACCCCTGTGGCTAGTCGTTGCTTTGATATCATTGTCGCTTTTCTAGATGCCACACATGTGCTACCTGTTAACACGCGCTCGGATGGGAGGTCAAATTGACCTCCCCCTGCAGGTTTTTCCAAAATGGGTTCCGAACGGCGCGGCGTAGCCGCGCCAAATTTTGTATAGCTGTAGAAAATTGAATAGCGGATCGTTTGACACCAGAAATTTATACGTGCCTTGTAAGGCCGCTGACCTATGGCAGGTCAAAGCCAGGCCATGGTTTCAGCGAAGGCAATTTCTAGGGAATCGTCCAATCTCATACGATAACGGAGTGTTCGACGAAGCCATACATCTCTGAGATGCTTTCTTAGGCACCACAAATATTGAACGAGCAAATTAAGCTGACCTAAGGTCAGGTATAAAGGTCAGACCAAGGTCAAAACCAACCTGTTTTATCACTTTTGGGCTTGCTGTATGGGATAGTTTGTGGTGCTCATTTCGAATTTATTGACAGCAGGAACCGCATTATACATCTTCCATTGACTTCTTAGAGGTCGCAAAAGGTCATTTACAGAAAGATGACCCGGGTCGACATTTTATTTTACGAACGTAATCTAGCGTAATCTTTGTCGCTTATTCAAATGCAAAACTCAGAGCAGTCTTGTGTGATTTTGGTCACCATGACCTTTGAAAGGTCAAACAGGGTCACTGACCTCAGATGGGCTATTGACCTTTTGATTAGAAACAGTTGCCTCGGTCCTGGAGGCACTTGGAGACCAACCTGGAATTTGACCTTGTTTGACCTTATTTGACCTAACGGTCATAACCTAGGAAGCTCAAACTTTGACCTAAATGAGTTTATGTCCAGATCAAGGCACCCTGTAAATTTGGTGTCTCTAGCTTTCTTAGTTCCCGAGATCTCAAGGGGGGGGTCAAACTGACCCCCTCCTTCAGCCGAGCAAAGGGTATCTAGCCGGCCAACCGGGCGCGTGTTAATGTTCCGCCGCGCATAACGAAAGTGCTTGTGTTCCCCCGTGTCCGTTTTTATGCTCAGGTTTGTGACAGCGCAAACAGCATGACTGTTGCCAAATTGCAGAGTGTGTCTGACTTCGCATCTTGAGTGATCCCCAAACGACTTAAATTTGACCATGTGTCGGATATTCTGCGACGGTTGGGCTGGCTTAGGACCCAGTGGTTACGTAACTTCTTCGATCTGCGTCTTTTGCAAAACAAAACTGACCAACAGCGAGTCAGAGACCGCACGTTGTCCGCTCCGCTGCAGCCAAGAAAACACCGAGTCCAGTATCAGTATCAGCTCGGCATCAATCTGGTCATTTGTCGCTTTCTCGCTCCAAGAACAATAATGGAAAGCGAGCATATGTCTACCGAATTGCGCATATGTACGAGTGTATCACCAGTAGCGGCAGGGTGGACCTGCCCCTTTCCACTTTCGACACCAGTGCTCGCGAGATTATTCAACGCTTCTGACATTTTAATATCTTGTACAAGTCTTCTTGTGTCGTGGTTTTGCTTGTCGCGTTGTGACTGTCTATGCACCTGTTTATAGAAGCCTGAAAATAGCCTAATACATGTGGAATGACCTGATAAAAAGCAATTAAGTATAACCACCTAGTTCCCTCCCTACGTTCTGTGTCATGGGGTTTTACGACGCAATCAGCTGCTGAGGCTTTTAGTGGCGCCTGCCTCCCACCCTGGCAGAACGTATGGACACCGTGTGGAAATGAACCTCGTACCTCTGGTGATGTGCTTTATGGCAAACAGTCGCGCAGTTGAAATACTGTGCGTGTAATGATAAACTGAATTTTTACGGGGTTGTCGGAGCACCATTCTATGCCATTTAATGTTCTTGTAAGGGGATACGCTGTTCCGAAAATACCATTGGCGTAGCCTGATAAAATTGACTAAAGTTAAGAGCTCGTGAACCATTCGTTCTGAAGCCATCGTCATAAAGCATTGATCTCATTGAGCTTAACCTTCCAGAACCAGATTTCCCACTCACAGTTACACCATGCACAAAATTTCCTGAAGTCTCGGAGGTCAGGGGTGACGTCGACGCCTCTCCGGCCGACTTGTCGATTTGTCTTTGCTGTCGATTTGCTCCACCTGTGGCTTTTGCCAAATCAGTTCCCGATTCCCTATCCCTCACCAGATATTCCTTGAAGTCCTATCCAATCCGTACACGCATCCGCAGGGTGCCAACGGATCGCGTGGATTCGTGACGGCCTTTGGGCAATGGTCAGCGGCCGACAGCTGGCCCGCCAGACAGCTGGCCGCCCGACAGCTGCTCAGCTCATTAGCTGCTCCGCTCCGCACGTGACGCTGGCTACGAGCGCTCCCTTACCTGATCTTCTCCATCTCCATAGTAGTGTTGTTCCTCATCCGCGTGACCAGGATCCGGACCACGTTGAAGAGGAACAGCATGTTGATCTGAAACACGAACAGTCTTTCAGACGCGCCTCGCGCGCGCGCGCGCGTTTGCTGTTCAGCGTCGCCGCCAGCTGGCTCGGGCTTCTCAGCCCCGCAGGCCAGCCGCCCCATAAAAAAGCCTCTTCTTTCCCTCGGCTCCTCAAGAGCGCTCTGTTGTTTCCCGCCTCCTCTTCCCCACTCCCCTGGCGACAAATTTAATGAAGATGGAATGACAGCTCTGCCACCCTTCACTGCCGACTGGATCCACGCATTAATATTTATCCGAGAAAGAGGCTCATCGGCCCAGTACAGCTGGAACGCGGAGGCTCGCGTATCAGCGCCGGAACTGGTCACATGACATCCCCTATCACGTGAAGAGAGGGGCATACCCAGACCCAGATCTGTTCACTCCGTAGCCTAGCCTGAGCAACGCATCACACACGGATGCGGAGGCCCATCAGTATCGCATCACAGAAAGAGATGATCTGGGGTGTATTAGTAGCGACCGCGACGACGAGGATGCTATGCCGATATCACTTATGACGTCATAGCTCATATATTGCGTGTCGTTTGGTGTTCGCTGCGACCCGGACGATAAAGATTCTACGTGATGTCCGTGGAATTTGCCGGCCGCGCGGAATCTTTTCCCGCGACTCGATCGGAGTGAGACAAAAATGGCGCAACACATCAATTCTAAAGAGGTTAATTTGCGCACCAAGGACCGACCGGAAGTGATAGAAATGTGTGCTATGCGTTAAAAGCGGCATAATTTGCAGCTTTCGATGTTAGGAACACTCCGGACACCTTGACACGAAAATATTGTGTCTGCCCGCGCAGTGTTGTCACGACAGTTACGAAAATGTAAACTGAAAACGTGTCTCGCTGCGCACAGTCCGGCAGAGATTCTACGTGACGTCACGTAGAATACAACATTCTTGGTGCGCTGCGAATACATCCCTGGTCACATCTCACATCACGCACGGAGACACCAGCTCACCGGGTCCCTCAGCCGGTCTCGCTTAGCGGTTATACGCGGAGGTGACCCGGTCCCGTCACCACTGATCCCGTCGCGTATGGAGATGACCTGATCACACCGCACACCACACACGGAGACGACCCAGCCACAGGTCCCATCACATGGAGATGACCTGATCACACCGCACACCACACACGGAGACGACCCAGCCACAGGTCCCATCACATATGGAGATGACCTGACCACACCGCACACCACACACGGAGACGACCCAGCCACAGGTCCCATCACATATGGAGATGACCTGACCACACCGCACACCACACACGGAGACGACCCAGCCACAGGTCCCATCACATATGGAGATGACCTGATCGCACCGCACACCACACACGGAGACGACCCAGCCACAGGTCCCATCACACATGGAGATAACCTGTCCCACTGCCCCGCTATCACCCACTCACGGAGACCGGGTCCCAGCATCACACCACTCACGGAGACCGGGTCCCAGCATCACACCACTCACGGAGACCGGGTCCCAGCATCACACCACACGAGGAGACTCAAGCCCCACCCCACTGCGACACCGCCCTGCCGCCGCTTCACTGGCGGAAGTGACCCGGTCATGGCGTCTCACTCCGATGCGCAGCCGGCGACTCACCCCCAGCGCCGTGATCATGGGGGCGATGAGCAGCCAGATGCAGGCCAGCTCGGCGTAGCCGAACCAACAGTTGGCTGGCAGCGCGCGCTCCGTCGCCAGCGCCCAGGCCGTGGCAAACGCCGCCGGCAGACCTACCGGAGACGCAGCACGTCACGGGACGTGACGCCGGGCGTGACGCTCCCGACACGGCCGGCTGCGGCGTGTGCATGGAGCTTACTGTCAACGTTGCAGTTCATAGCTCAACGTTCATCAATGCTGGTCTCTCTGTTGAGTCAAATGGCCTAACCAATCACCAAAAACCTCTCCAAATAAGAAATATCCATTCATTTTTAACACTCGATGGCCGGCCTCCGGACGAACTGACTGAACCTCGTCCAAGACGCATGGTTTAAAGCAGCAATTCCAAACTGAGAGTGCATTTGAGAAGGGTCTTAGTCGGCCATACCCGGGATTTCTTGATGGTCTCAGAGACCTGGCCATTGAAGGAACGGCTCTCAAACACCGCGAGGACTCTGATCGTGGGACGAACAACGGCTGCCGTGACCTTTCCACAGGGCCCTGGTCATGCCGAGGCCGAGTCTGTTCAACGCACTCGTCGAAGGCTTGTCAACGCGTTCGTGACGTCTCGGATAAATTGCGTACATAAACGCATGACGCTACAAAGTGATCGCTATAAATTTGAAAACGTCTCCAAACAACGCTTCGCTGTACATGGGCAATACCTAGACGGTGGTGTCCCGTTGAGTGGCGATGGTGCTCATTATTGGCGATGAAAAATGAATGTGGACGTTACACTCACCCGGCCTTTTTTCAGACGGCGTCTGAATCCCGATGCACACAGTTTACTTATGGAATTAGACCTGTAATATATATATATATATATATATATATATATATATATATATATATATATATATTTATATTTATATTTATATATATATTTATATATATATATATGTATATATATATATATATATACAATTGGCCTTAAAATAGCAACGCTGGACATAACCGGTACCTGCTTACCCTCGTTTCCAGTTGCATACACAGAAATAACAAGCGCTCTCGGCTTACCCCAGCCGACCAAATGGAGAAATTTGAACGGAGCCCTGGAGTCGAATATGGAGACAGTTATTCTCGAGTGCAGAAAGAAGCCTTCGTTCCACATCCACATCACCGAAGAGAGACGGCCGTACATTTGCAGCGAGAGGATCGCCTTGCACAGCCAGCCCTGCCGAACGGCAGACGGACGCACAATCAATGTCAGCGGGTTACAATACCCGCCGACGTGGGATATGCTATCGAGACCGGTGGTGAGGTGCAAGCATATCGTAGCGCGCTCGGCTTCATGACGCGCATCCAGGATCCATACATTGGGGACACATATCACGTCTGAACAGACACGGCGTTGGACACTCTTTCTAAAGGCATAGTAGGCCACGTTTCCGTATTCTGAAGAAAATAACATAAAATACGGAAGCTCTCGGATTCTGCCTCTCCTTTTCGCCCAAATTTGCCTGGTTGAGATACGTTTGGATTCTTCTCAGACAGACCCCGGGTGCCTTGTGTGATGAATCTCGCGTCTTTTCCTGCTACAAAATGGAAGCCTACAGCTGTCCCGCATCATCATCGTCTTGACGGCAACAGATGGTGCGTCTAGAGTCCGCCCCGATCGTTTTCGCCAATGTGAGAAAAGCGCCACGTTCGTAGCGATGGCAGCGACGCAACGGCTGAGTGCGCCCAATATGCCGTCTGGATAAAAACAGTTTCATTTCAAGGTAAGGTGAGCATTCGCTTCTCGATCTATTGTCATTATCCTCATCGAAGAACTTTCCCATTTAGCGAGGATCGGCAGAGGAGAGCTTAGAGTGAAATAAAAACGCTTCCTTGACGCGTGCTTCACTTCCATCCTTCCCAAGCTTCATCAAGCGAGCAAACAAAACCCGGGTCGTCCGAACCCGCTCACCGCACCGGCTCGGGTAGCGCGCGCGGCTGGCCCGGCTCAGCTCTCAGCGGCCGAGTCTACTCAGAAGTCGGCGGGGCCGAACTAATGTCACGCGACTGGCGGCGGGCGGTGGTCCGGCCACGCACAATGTGCACAATGTTGACAACCTCAGCACTCCACTTTCGGTCGCGACAAGGACGGCCTGCGACCGACTGAGCCGCGCGCACGCTGCTGTGTGTCTTGGCGTGCTGGTGCTGTTTGTCGTGCGATGACCGCTCACGTCCGAGTGGTGCCAGCAACGAATGCGGCGCAAAGGTTGCACGTCTGAAGCCGTGCGGTAGGCATCATTGCATTTGTGAACACATCCAGTGCGAGGAGCTGCCATCATGAAGTAATGACGTGCAAACTGTGAGCCACAGAAGGAAATGTGATGTGAGCAATAATGATATCAATATGTGATCCGAGGAATTGCATCAGCAAAACAATGGGACACGAACGAACTCAGGTAACGTTTACCGAACTGCAGGCACGAGGAATCGCGTATTTAAAATCCGATGCAAACAATGTTTTGCAATAGGAAGATTCAATGTCAGGAGTTAAGAAGCCGAAACGTTTCACAAAAGGACGATCTGAGTAAAACAAAAATGCGAAAAGAAGCGCACGGAGTTATAGGTTATAACAGTACGAGGGTCCACGATGATGCGTCCACTTACCACATCTCTGTAGGTCATCCCGCCTCGGCGAGTGATGAACGGTTCTGATATGATGATCATGATGATATTGCACAACATCAGGGCAACGATGAGGTTTTTATGCACGGAAAGTCGGCTGCATTGTAGACATCTGTGGAAAGAAAATTTAATCAGGACATCCAAGGGGACGAGGAAGTTTGATGCACGCCCAAAGGGTACAACAGAACGAATGTTTTACGATTGGTTATGTAGCATCCGATGATATCTTGTTTACGTGTCTGCCGATAACAAGTGTTACATATGTACTCAAACCACAATTCATACAGAGTTAATCCACAACCTAAAGATGCTTGCATCCGAATGTTAAGATATCTGGGTGCCGGAGTCTTGGAATATCGTTACACGCCTGCGTTTGTACGAATGCAATCCTTCATAAATATAAACATATATTACCATATAACTAACATACTTAATACAATTTTGCAATCCTCATATACCTATCGTGCAGGCGGTGATCTGAAGCGATTGCCCACACGATCAAACGCATAAATGTGTTATTAACGGAAAGCTACATCTCTACAAACACTTCTGATATCAGAATACTATAGCAAGCTTCTGAACCGACAACAACACCGGAAGAAAGCTTTTCGTACAAAAAGACGAATATTTCGGACAGCGAAAATAACTACGGGGCCCACTCACGAAAAATGGTGTTAACCTTATATTAGTAGACGGAATAAGTGTACGCCTTTATGACAGAAGACCCGGGGTTAGATGCTGTTAAAAGGCACAAAGGTGTCATCGATAGAGCATCTCAAATGGGAATTCATGTTAAACTGACGCTGTTGTCAGTATAAGTTCATTTTTCTTTTCAATCACGATAAATTAATGAATCATTTCGTGAGACATCTGGAAGTTTTAGCGCCATTTCATAATTGTATATTCAGTAACGCTGCTCACTGTTTCTATCTTATTAAAAAGGCATCAGTTTCTGCTTCAGTCAAAATCAAAATGAACCGAAAATTGTCAATGGAAAGCAAAGCGTTCCACAAGTCGCATGAGAAAACTTGCTTAAACAGGATAGTTACTTCATCCAAAAAGGAGCACCACAAACTCTCCTGGGACAAAAAAACGGCAGGATCAGACATATCCCACATCTACGGTGTCAATAAAAGATATGAAACTTTCATCTAAATTACAAAGCGAATATTGGCAGCTGGCATTTTCAAACGGTGTTGTTCTGAAGCGAAACCTTATTCAACTTCTACACTTAAAGGGAATGTTCCACATTTGAAGATATTCAGAGAAGCAACAGGCATGACGGGAAAGCTTACTTCTAACTATTGGTAAGTTTTCAAGCTGCAAAAGCCATCCTAAGTAGCAAAATTTCAAAGTTTGTAAAAATGCACCCAATTATGTCGTTATTTGGTGGCGTCATGGAATGGTTTTGTGACGACAGCAATACCTGGCAGCATCTAGCAGCCAGACCTAAAGAATACCTCGAAACGCATGAAAGCTGACGCCAACAACCCATTTTCGTCGTGGGCGCTGGGTTGGGCGGCGGATTAGTGAATGGCTTGCTTGCGGATTTTTTGTATTGGTACTGGTCGTTAAAGAAGCTTTGGCGGGCTGGTTGACATACGCAACGTAGCGATCGCCAGCTTCTAGGGCAGATTACTAATATCAAAGCACGATATGCTGTGAAGACTGTCATGAATCTCGTACCGAAACCTGCCAAGGACTGCTGAAGATGTGAATACCGTACTGCCGACTTATCGTTATCTGCAGTGCTGTAGCCCTGACATTGATATCATGTGATGTGCACAGCAGTTGCTTTATTATTTGTAACTGGAAATGCAGTTGCATGCAAAAATAAATAAATAACAGTGTTATGAATCGATTGCCAAAACGTTCTCATTTATATGGCAAAGATGTTAAGGCTAAGTTACCAATGATTGTTTTTTGTTTTGCTTTCTTGCTGCGGCTTCTTATGCAATTATTAGTAAACCCTGATATAACCGTTGTGGCATAACTGTATTCTCACTGTCGATAGTCCTTTGGCGTTGTTAAATCAGTTGTTTCCAGCCATTCATAACTTATAAGCTGTTATCTCACAGACTCGGCAAAGAGGAGCCAACCAACGCGACACATTGTGTAATGGCACGGGTCAACAGTGGCATCGTGGCACTACCTTAGTGCTGCACTGTGGCATGGCATAATGAACAATGATGGGGGTTTGTACCATAATCCCTGCTACTTTCATAATAAATTATATCACGAAAGAATGGGTCAAGCATGTCTTCTTGCATTAACTCCGCACCTGACATATGACTGACAAAAAAACATGATACAATATACAACTCACTTTCAGCAGGTACGCAACCAATAAGTGACACACTTTCCCAGCCTGTTTTGGAAATCCACAAAACATGGGTGACAAAGATGCAAACACGCCTTCTGCTTCCACAGCGATGCAACATGCTGTAGCCATCAGGCTGCTTTACTCAAAAATGTTATTCACACAAGTGATAACGCAAGTATACTAATAAAATATTGCAAGTGAAATGACATTGCAAACTTGGTGGCCTTGGACAATTTTGGAGACATGACAAATGCCTGCAGTTATGGTTAGATCAGCGAAATGCAAGGAAGCGGTGAAGCTGCTGATGTCCACAAGGCTCATGATAAAAATATTTTTAAGTGTCATCCAAGAAACCGATAGCAATACTTCTCCACCTTTCTCAGCACCCAGCATCTCACAAGTTGCAGTGGCTATGACGTTGATGACTCACAAGCAATGCTTGCCTGCATACAAAATTCAGAGTTTTTAAGGGAAACACAATTCTGCAAAGTTGTATCATGTGAGCTAACACCACGCATGTGCATTAATGAGCTGCGCAGGCCAGCCCCTACTGCCACGCTGAGTTGCAAATATAATGACAGGCAATGGATTAATTACACGCTGTAATGCTTCAATACGTTAAAAATTTTGACAAGATCATAATGAAGTATCAAATTGCCTTTGCACACCCCTGCAACATAGAGGATAGTGTTTCTTTCAGCTTACGAGCATCACCACCTTGTCCTGTTCAAACACGAACATAAAGATGGAGACAGGTATCGATATATCACATTTATTGGGAATCAGTAGACTTAAAGAATGTCAAAACAATACTCCCTCTCAGACGTACAAACCTCACACGCACACTCCCCATCCCATCAAGATCAATGCAAACCACTGGCACGCTCCACCAGTGGCCACACCCTTTTCAAGCCCCTGATTCATACTCTTGTAAAAAAGCGTGATTTCACACTTCCACAGCCCGCGGGACTATCAGATTGCAGGTTTTCTTACGCACAGGGTTCCGGTCATAACACCGCATTTCACCGTGAGCTCCCTTCCAAACAAAGTCCCAAGGGGGTTCATGGTGATGCAGCTCAAGAGGTTGTACTTTAAGGACACAGTTTTGTGTTCAGGATTTAAATTTGTTACGTGATATATATTATGCATTTAGCAATTTATAAAGATACGCAGATATATATATATACATATTTATTTATTTATTTATATTTATATATGTAATTACTGTAACGTTTCCCTAATTTTGTAGTGCCTAGCTAACCCATAAACCCGTGCAAGATTCTTTGCTCCGGTGCGCACGGTGCCAGCCGAGCTGTCCGTAAGAAATACGTGAGTAGAAAAAAAGAAAAACACCAGCCGGAGAAAAAAAACAGAGCTGCCGTCGCGTCTTCCTTTTAGAACATTCGGGAGGGCACCACTCTTTTTCGGTGTCGTATTTTTTGGCAGATAGTGGCGTTGTTTTTTAGAACTTTGGCCCATCGCCTAGATACAAGGAAAAAACGCCCCGTTGACGAGGAGTGTCGCACAACCCGAAAGTGTTCACGCTCACCTCCGCGACAAACATTCAGCGGCGAAATCTCACTAACAGTCAATCACCTTCCGCGGGTCGTATCATATGTGCGGCATCATCGCTTTTGCGAATGTATCAGCGGCCATGCTGTTTGACCATAAGCAGAAAACAGCTTGTAATATCACGGCGGTCGTATGACGTTTCTATGATATCATCATTGCGGAGGCGGCTTTAAAATAGTCCCTTCATAAACATTTTTCCACTTTTGCGGGCGTGTAACTCAGGAACCTGAGGGCGTTGGGATCTTTAAAAGGGCATGGCCGTGAACTGCATCAAAAGGTCCTCAAGATGGCTATTTCAGTTCAAAACCCCATGTAAAGGTGGAACATTAACCTTAATGATGTCGGTTACAAAGCAGTCCCCCAATGTTACGGGTAATGGAGTGCTCTGAATTTGTTCAATGATTATGATGAACATAAGACCCGCTCAAATTCGCAGGGCACTGCTTTTATGAACAGGGGGCTCCACGCCTACCGTTTTCGGATTTCCTGCTTTAGTTGAAAGGATGAACGATTCTCCGTTGCGAGTCCAGCCGTTATCACATAGGAGCTCTCGTCATAAAACGGGACTGCCAGTTGCATCGCCAGCGTTGATTAGCACACACCACTGTTTTCTAATGTACGTGACACCTATGACGTCATTGGAGATTTACGACGCACTCAGCCACTGAGACTATGTGAAGTGGCTTGCCCCTCATCCTGGCATTAGGAATGGGCACCGCGGGGAATTAAACCACGTTCATCTGGTTTTCTAGGCGTGTTTTCCAGACCAGACCAGACGTAGCCGAGCCACGGGGCTATGCTCACTTACCCTCCTCCTTCCTTCTCTCCCCCCTGAGCCAAGGGGTTCCCACCAAACACCATGCAATTTCACGGGAATTTTTCCCCACATCACAGGATTTCGGAAAACAAGTGACACTTGCTCCCTCTCTCTCCCTCTCCTGAGGAAAGTTTTGGCTACCTGCGTGCACCCTGTCTCCCTCTGCATCCGCGCCTCACTGGGCGCTGCTTCTTTGGTATCCAAAGTCGCTATACACAACGTCTTGTGATCTTATTACGTTGCTGTCTTGACACGTTGTCATCTTTATAGCGATGCTGCCTTTTGATTTCACTCGCTTCAATTTCCCATGTATATTAACTCACCGAAGTA